ACTGTCCCATTTTATAGCACCTGCTTTGCTGTTTCAAAAAGTCATAAAAGCAGGTACATGTGAAGATGTAATTGGTCTTCCCTGTGCCATGGGCCTGCTTTATCTGATGAAGCCGTTTCACACTGAGAGTACTTCTTCTGTAAGACTCCTTCCATAGGCCATGCGCTGTCCTCTCTTTTGTCTACATCTCGTCAGTCAGATGAAATGCTGCTGTAAGTAAGTCTTACCTTTTAGTACGTAGATGTTATAAGGCGTGCTAGTTCTAAGTATAGCCATGTAATGTTGCCATGGAAATGCAGCATCATAATGTAAAATTAAATTTCCTGTGTCCACCTTATTTCACTAACACAAATGAGCAAAGCTGCAATCAGACAAATGCTATACTCATACTTTCTTTCAATGTTTAATATTGCCTTTTGAAAATCAAAAGAAAGTGAAAGCAAGGTTTTTTAGTTACTGTTAAATGTTCATACAGCATTGTGCATCTAAAAACTCTTCAATCATTGATAGAATTAAAATGTTTTTCAAGTCTCATGTGTAACTTACAGATGGGAAAAATTATGTACTTCACCAAAGCCTAGATTATGAGGTGAATCAGTACCTGTTCTAACTTGACACTTGGTCCCTGATTGTTGCATTTAATTGTATTGTTTAACCACTGAGGGACATAGAATGTAAGTAGAAGAACACAGGTTAACTGTTCTGCTAGTGTTACAGCATGTAATGCCCAAAGCTGTACTGTAGACTAGAAGACAGCAAGATCTTTATCTTTGAATTTATGCCACAGAGGCACTAAAAAGGAAAAATACATTCATTAAAATCAATATATGAGAAATAAAGCATATGTAAACTGAAATATCTATTAATTGTAAGAGTGTGAGTTATGGTAATTTAATTAATCTGTTTCTAGATGGACCCTAAAAAAGTCAGTAAAAATTTCTAAAGCACAATAAAATTCAAAACACTGTTCACTTTATAAAATGCAACACAATTACCAAGAAATCTTCAATTCTAGCAGCCACTATGTTGACATAATGAGTAGATGGCTTCCGGATGCTTTTCACTTGGTTTTTGGGACTGGTGCAAACTAACAAGGCCCAAGGTTCAACTAGCCAGTTGGCCTATCAAGTCCCATTGCTAAACCATGTTTCTTAGTGTCCTCTCCTAAATACCTGTAGACATGGACTCTACTGCTACCCCGGGAGCCCATCACAGTGCTTGATCACCCTTCTCTGTGAAGAAACTCTTCCTGTTATGCAATCTAAATGTCTCCTGTTGCAACTTGAGACCGTTTCTTTGCCTCCTGTCACTTGTGACCTGAAAAAAGAGATTAACTCCCTCCTCTCTGCAACCTCCTTTCAGGTTGTCTAAGAGAGTCATCAGTTCTCTCCTTTGGCTCCTTTTCTTCAGACTAAAGTATCCCAGTTCCTCCAACCACTGCTTTTAAATCTTATATTCCAGTCTCTTCCCCAGCTGTGTTGTTTTTTCTTTGTACAGAGATGAATTAGGCTGAAAAGAAGGAAGTAGAGTTTCTGCATGTATTGGACACATTCAATAACAAGGCTTTTTGGATGCTGGTACATCATAGAGAACTCCAGTCAGAGATCTTTCCTGTTGAAAGTCTGCAGTTACATGAAGCTAATTGTTTCTTCTTGGTTGTTGGAGAACAGGCTGTCTGCGTTAGTGCAAATACTGTAGGAGTTTTTTGATTTGTCCTTTTTGTCTGCTGATTTACAACACAACTAGTAACCCTATCAGTCAACGTCATCAATAAGTTGACAGCAGGCTAGGCTTCAGGTATACTAGTTGCACAGATACACAGGACATCTGTTAAATGTCTGATTTGGCAGCCCAATCCGCACACATTACTTCTGCCAATAGGGGAGACACAGCATCAGGCTGGCATGCCAGCATATCTGTGGGTCTTTGCTGGACAAGTACCAGATCTTGTCCACCAGTATAAAATTAAGCAAAGAGTCTGTGGGAGAAAGAAGACAAAACAGAGACAACTAAGAGAGATTTCAGCAACCATGAAAGAACCTATGTGGTCACATGGAGAGGTCAGAGGAGGTAAGGATGTTATTAGGGATGGGCAGGAAATCTTGTCTTGGATGCTGGGGAAATAAGGAGAGATGTGGCAGAGTGGATAGAAAGAGCTGGAATGTTGTGAGGAGAGAACACAGAGGAGGAGTTGCTGTATTGGCAGTTTCTGAAAGGTGTGGACTATGTTTTTTGGGGAATTCACATCTGTCGGCCACCTGCATCTCCTATTTTTTGCTAATCGCAGGCTGAACAGAGGAGGAGATTTTCTTACAAGTGTTCTTACAGGCATATAGTAAAAAGAGAGCTCACACTGCAAATTCATCATGAAATGAAGCCCTGGGAGTCAGACTGTCAGGACTTAGCAGAGGAAAAGATGAAGAGTTTTTCCAAAGAGCTTCCCAAATTTCCCTTGAATAAAAATGGACTAAGAGATTTTTGATGTTTTCAGCCTCACACCACATAGTGTTTTTAAGATTACGTGTGTATAAAAAATGACCTGCTAAAAGACTTTCTGCAAAGTTGACTGGAACATTTCTCTGCACAAATGTGGTCTAAACTAGTTCATATAAATTAATTGGAAGTTGCTGCTCTCCACTCAGTGATTGTGAAATATCTACTCTTCTCATTTCAACAGTCAGCTGAACCGATTTGCAAGATGTGAATGTAGATCAGTTCAGAATCCTCTTCCTCTCCACTTTGATGTGATTGCTTTTGATGCATTTTCTGGGTGCTTCCTCTTTGCTTACCTCTGTTTGTCAGACATGTCAGTGGCATAAACTCTGAGAGCATTCTTGCTGATTCTCTTCACTGTCAGATAAAGATGTACTTTTATCCAGGCTAGACACAGTTTTTTTTCAGCTATGCAGGTGTGACCACAATAAACGATGTAGCAGAATGTTGTCCATGAAGCCTCCTTAAATTGTTGTCTGTTTTTACCTTGGATAACTACTTAGTCACCTATTTATAGAAAACACAGCTGTGACAGGAAATTAGACTATACAAAACATACACTTAAAAGCATTCAGTGTCACCAAAATGATGCTCAAGGAAAGAGCTGTCTGTTCTTTATGTTATGTAATCACTGGCAACTGGCAAACTATGGTTTGCAAACTAAGAGATACACAGTCAAAAAATCATCTCAGAGTCTAACTTAACGCTATGAATGTACTTTCCAGACAAATATTCAAAATCTTTTTTTCTGCATAGTAATGAACACTCTGATTTTTTCCAACATTGGAAACTTGGCTGAGAGAAGATTCCACTAAAGGTAGACAAGGAGATCTTCAATTAAGATGCTCAGATTCTACCCTTAAACATCATTCTTCATCTCTTTAGAGATTTCTGCTGAAGATTTTATCAAGAAATGCAGAATTTGCTTCTCTATTTCACCATTTTTGCCCCTTCTGTCAATGTCCATCTCTTGCAACGGGGAAGGTGGCCGGATGTCCCAGAAGTGTTTTCTTTCATTACTGCAAGGCAGGAATGCTTTTACATGAATCCAGTGATGAGTGAATTTGCATGTACTGCATGTGTTTCAGCAAGACATTTGGAAACCTGAGAGTCTACAGCTGTGTTGAATTGAAACCTAGGATTGCAAAAGAGACTGTAAGTCTTTAATAGTTTATACAAGACATCTTTTCTTATCTGTGTGGTCTATTTGATAGTCTAACAGTTTAATTGAATGACAATTTTTTTTTTTAATCTCTCATAATATTGTAATATACAGAATCTGCCTTCCTCTGAGCCAGTGCCAGTGCCAGTGGTCTGCGGGCTGGTTCGGCCCGGTTCCGTGACTAGCAGGGCGGAGGGATTTCGCAAATCTGCTCCTCCAGAAATGGGAAACAGGGGACCCAAAATAACTAAATGCAGTGGCAGCAATCTGAGAAGAAACAAACTAATTTACTAAAGATGGTATCGGAATGCAAGATAACACACTATAACATAATATAATTACAATTGAATAATCAATCGAATGTAATGAGAGAGTGCCCGAATGGTGGAAAAGCCTCACCGTAACACTGAGGTGAGATGCACAGTCTGTTTGAGCAGGGAGGAGAGCCTGATGAAGAAAGAGAGGTCAGATGAACTACCAAGGCCTCATATCTGTTCCCCCTGAGCAGAAATGATGACAACACAGCAAGCAGTCTTGTGGGGAATGTAGTGATTCTTCTCTTCTGGGACATGTACTCGGAACTGGAGCATTAACACTTCAACTTCCAGTGCACTACATGATGATATGATTGGAGTACCACAGAATCACAGAATTGTAGGGGTTGGAAGGGACCTCCAGAGATCATCGAGTCCAACCCCCTGCCAAAGCAGGTTCCCTACAGCAGGTCGCACAGGTCGGCATCCAGGCAGGTCTTGAACATCTCCAGAGAAGGAGACTCCACCACCTCCCTGGGCAGCCTGTTCCAGTGCTCCGTCACCTCACTGTAAAGAAGTTCTTGCGCACATTTGTGCGGAACTTCCTATGCTGCAGCTTATGTCCGTTTCCCCTTGTCCTGTCTCCACTCACCACTGAAAAGAGTCCGGCCTCGCCATTCTGCCCTCCACACCTTAGATATTTATAGACCTGGATCAGGTACCGATAATCAAAAATCATAAAACCATGACAGCCAGACTTCTGCATCTCCGCGTTTGTTAGATTACTTCCTAGTAGTTTTCTCTGTATTAAAAAGTCAGTAATGTTTTCTGAGAAGCTTTTCTTCTCAAATGAACATGATGTCTTCTTTGCTTTCCCAATTTGCAGTTTCCTATTCTGATCTTAGTGTGCTTCTAAGGATCCCATACTGAGAAGGACTGCAATAAAAAGATGCTGGAAGTTGGTTAAGTGACTTCATGTCACAGAAGTAGCAGTCAGTGGACTGCTGCTATAGATTACTAGGAAGGTGTTAACTCATGCTTGACTGTACTATCTTATGATCAGGTAAATGTTTTTACTTTTCTCTTTACAGTACCTGCATGCAAATGGGATTGTGCATCGTGATTTGAAGCCAGAAAATCTGCTCTATGCAACACCAGCCCCAGATGCACCACTGAAAATAGGTAAACAGCGCTAAATAGATGTTTCCCTAATTTCTTAGGGAAGTAGTACTACTTCTTACCAGTAGTATGTGCTAGAAGTATGTAATTCTTACCATCACTTTGTTCTAAGCTAATGCTTATACTCAAATGAACAGTAAATTACTACTTCAGAAACACGATGGTGCATGGTGTTTTAAAAACAAACACAGAAGTGAATTCTTGTTGTGGTTAATTTACAGCTTAAATTTTGCAGAAAACTGTAGACAATAAGAGCACAGGTAGAACAAGAAGGATCATGGAGTGAGTTGTGTGCACCACTTCTGTGTCCTTTTTTTTTTGCTAAAATAGTATTATAAGGGAGAAGATTCATAGACACAATAAGTGCAAGTTTGCAGAAAAAGAGAAGAAAGTAAACAAACCAAGTATGTCCTCAGAGCAGACCTGTGGGATGAGAAGAAATGCTCATCATTATAGGGCACAGGAATTGCACCCTGAAGCAGCAACGGGGAGGGGTGAGGAGGAGGAGAGGTCAGGCTCTCCCTAGTGAGGATGTTATACGTCAGTTGACTTCCAAAAGCTGAGCATGTCCCACTCTTCCTGTAGCAAAGTGGAGGTCTGAGGAATCCAGCAGGCATCATGTTGTGTTCAGCCATGGACAGCTGCTGACCTAGTTCATACAAAAAGAGCAGTGCAGGGCTCCCTGGTGGGATGTGGGTTGTGGCATTCCAGATATATCAAGCTGGAAAAGGACTGATCTGTACAGGCTAAAAGAACAAAAACCTGGAGGCTCCTGCTCTCACCTTCTTAAAGAATTCTGTCATGTGCTGTTTTCCAGCAATTGTATTCCAGATATTCACTGCTCTGTCTGTTTGGAAGTACCACTCTGTACTCCTTTGCCAGGGAGCAGGTGAGCATGTGAGCAGTGAAAGTTCCATATTCATTATGCTTGTGTTCATCACAGGTTTCAGAAGCTAGTTTTTCCACAAACTATTTTTAAGAATTTTTTTACACATTTCTAGGAAAGCATTGCAATCTCAGGATGCTAGTATCTGCATTTACATTTTCTCGTGGCTCTGAACCACTGTTACATGTAATAGTTTAATGTAGTACCCAGCAGCTATGGTTTTATGGCTAGTAGTATGGACTTCTGGAGCATTCATCCTCAGAAGAGCAGCATCTTCACCCCCATTCTCAGCCCCTCCTTCCCTTTTCTGTCTCAGATGCCAGCCTGTTCCAAAGGTGCTGCCATATCAGTGAATCACAAATTAGATAGAACTGAGGTGAGAAGAAAGTACAGCTGCTCTGCTGAAAAGATAGCTCCACTTAACTAGCTCAGCTTAGTCAGTTTCAAGAGATGGCAGGAATCATCATCCTGAGACGGCAGCTAGGCTTAGGTGTAATGCTACAGTTATTTCTCCTAAGCAAGATTTCTATGTGAAATATGAAGACATAGCTGCTACCTATACTTTACTGACATTAAAAACCTACAAAATTTAAGAAAAATAGAAAATAGGCTACTTTGGAATAAGATGGGCTATTTTCAAAATTACACCCTCTGTGTGACAAACCCAGCACTACACACACTTTATTGTATAGGTGCTGCATATCTTGCAACTCCTACAGCAATGAGGGATGGAAAGACAGTATGTTGTACTTTGTTCTTAAATTGAGTAGTTCTTTATATTTTGATTAAGCTTATTGCCTTGCGTAAAGATAGATCTGTGGATGGCAGTATTTGTAAAATATATTACTGCTTAGATCAACTATAATACATAATGTTGAACATTTTAGGGATAAGGGAACACTAACAATAAATGTATAGAATAAAATATGAATTGCTTTTATCCTGATCAAAATGTACATTTTTTATATTCACTGTAACAAAACACAAATACATTTATTTTGTATTTTTAAGGACAGATTGTCATTACCAAAATTGTTCAAGAAATCACTGCAGTATGATTTTTCAGACAAAAATTCTGTTCTCTTCTGTTACTTTATTGAATTATTATATTTATTGAATTACTCACAAAGTGAAAGCTGGATATGTGCCTAACACAAGTTTCTGCATCACTGATTTTACAACCAGGCATCTCACTATATTGCCTGTGTGCAATCCTCGGGATAAACAGGTTACATTTGTGTCAGCCAAGAATACTCATTTGTACAGACAGTTTTTTGCTTCTGCACTGCAGTCTGGGCAGGTTCCTTAAACTGACCATCATTTCTCAAAATGACAGTACTGTACATTTAATGCATAGTTGTTCATTTAACTACGTGTGCAATGTAACAATTATTATTTTATAAGGAAGTAAAAACACTAATATTTCTAAAAAATCTTAACAGCTGATTTTGGGCTTTCCAAGATTGTGGAAGATCAGGTGACCATGAAGACAGTTTGTGGAACTCCAGGGTACTGCGGTATGTTGTTTTGTTATTTACAGTTTACTGTACTTAATGTGAGAATGTTACATTTTTTCTGTCCGAGGTGAAATTTTTCTTCCTAAAGTCAAAATTCAAAAACAATCTAAAAAAAGAATCTAAAAAAGAAATAAATAGAAAACTGAAATTCAGAATTGTGACCATATTCAATTTTTCTAAATATACACCCTCCAACACTGAAGCTTAATCAAAACCTATGTTACAGTACAAGTTCATTACTTGAACGGAAATAAGTCCAACCATCATAAAAATGCTGACACTACCAATACAGTACTTTAGAAACATCTCCAGAAATTTGGACAATGCAAGGCATAATGGAAAACACTAAAAACATAGAGGAGGTTACAAATATTTGAATATTAATTATTTTGAATTTATCTTAAATGCAGAGGAATTTATTTTTAATGCAGAGGAAATCAAATTATCCCTTACAGTCAGCTCATAATTTAACCCCCTAATCCCAAACTATTTAGCCATTTAATAATATATGGTTTTAAATGCAGTTTTGCTTAGATTGTGCCAGAGCAGGACCTATATAATTGATGTAATTGTTAATGTAACATAATGTAACGTAACGTAGCGTTATGTTATGTTATGTTATGTTATGTTATGTTATGTTATGTTATGTTATGCAATAGTGCAATACAGTATAATAATGAATGCAATATCAGTGCTGAAAGGAGCCTCACAGACTGTCCAGCAGCTTTCTCTGGGGCATACCATGCATGCTGCCAGGCTGCCAGTACAGCTGTCACATGCACACATTTGCTGACAGAGCAAGTAATAACCACCTTGTGGATGCCTGGAGGAGAAGCTCTCCTGAATTCATACAGCCAGAAAGTGCACCAGAAGTGGATCCTCCATAGCCAAAACATGCAAAAAGAGACTCTCATGAAAAAGAGCATTGCAGTTGCCTTTTCTACTTACCTTTCACTGCTAGCTGCTTTTGTGTCAAGAAACAAGCTGATAGCCAAGGATAGTGGTGATCTTGTTAGCCTAAAGCAAACTTGCTATGATTGCTATGATTGCTATGATATATGGTGGATACTCATCTCTAGCACCCATGTCATGGAGAAACTGATTTCCATCATTCTTAATGAACTCTTAGTCCTGAATTCAGCTTCCTAGGAGTGTACTGGCAGGTAAGCATATCAGGTAGTTTAGGATGGAGCTAAGCCAGGCTGGGTGGAAACTAAAGACTTGATATTTGGCTTCTCAAGTGTAGAAGCAAAGGATAGAAGACAGTGGAGAAGACCATGAAATTAATGAACTTGTAGCTAGCTGATAATGACATTCAGGTAACATGTCTATTGGCTTGTATGCCTTAGTCTGCCAAGCACACATGGGTGCCAAGTATACCAACTATGCCTTAGAGAAGCTCTGAATTCCTATCTGCTTAGTGTCATAAGACTGTATTCTGAGTCTTGTTGTTTTCTCTCACTGCTGTTAGACTAAAATGTCATAAAACTCTTGTTATTATTTAGGCCTTTAATTGACTATCTTTATGTATCATTAAAAATATTATGAGGCTTTTATGCACAAAAGAGCCCTCAGAGTAGAGATGGTTTGGTAAGAGAGATGAGATGGAATGTCTGTGCAGAGGTGTGAAAGGAGCTTTGTTCCTTCAGACGTGAATCTGCAATTCTTGCCTTATGATCTGAGTTAACTGACCATGAAGAATTCCTGGTGCTTGGAAGATAGTCCAGTGTTACTTTCCAGAAGTGGAAGAAACCCAGAAGGAGTACTGTTGGAATGCCAAATTAAACTATGAATAATTGATAGTCTCAGGCAGCCAGCTCCCACATCCTGCCCACTCTCCCATCAGCTGTTTCTCCAGAAAGGACACAGCAAGGAAAACATACACTTGGAGCCTGGATATTTTGGAATCAAGACTTCACCATCGCACAGTGCCTGCAACAAGCGAAGTAATGCAGAAAACTGGAAACAAGAAGATGGACACAAAGAATTTAACTTGCTGAGTTGTTGTCCTTTGAGTGAACTTCAGAAGGAGGGGATTGCTTACAGTAGCACAGAAAACCATGCAACATAGACCAGTGATTCATGGGTGTCTGTTACTGCCAACATCTAAAATAACAGCAATAAATCAGTGCAGTCCATTCTCCACAAGCAAACTTTACAGGGGAATCATTTAACTGTGTAATCATGGTCCAGATAGCAAGGCAGACCTCAGCATGTAGGTTTTTGGGCTGTTTTGTGGTCATTTTACAGAGTATTGGTGGAAGGAGCAGAAAACGAAAAGGACTGGAGGTCTTCTTCCTTATCCTAAACAAGAAGATATTACTAGAAATATTGTTTCCTCTTGAAGAATAATATCAGCCAATAAACATAAAAACTGTCCTGTCTTGTTCAGAATCACAGAATCACAGAATTACAGCTCAAAGCGCCCCACATGAAGTTAGCAAATATGGCAGAGGGGGCATTAGGTAATATCTCTTTTTCTAGTGCATACAGTAGGAAGCATTTGCCCAGCTCCCAAGTATAGCTATATAGCAAAACCTGGTGATTAATGCACTTTGCCTTCTATACTAATTATCAGTAAAAATGCTTGGTATGTTTTGGCATGGTAGATCTTTTTGATTGGTTCTTTTAGATTGGTTGAAGAAATCTGAGCAAGCTGCCCAGAGGCTATCAGGAAGGCAGAAGACTAAAGGTCGTGCTCTGGGAAGTGCTGCTTTGCAGGGATGTTGCTGCACACATGCAGCAAGAGCAATTGCCTGAATTGCTCTTTTCTTTCTTTAGGGCTGAACTCCCTTATAGGAAAATAAGGAAAGATCCATGTCTGAGGTGACCATACTTGTTGTCCCTCACCTGACAGAGAGACACAGTGCTCAATTTCCTTGTAGTGCACTCGGGTAGACTAAAGCTGAACCACAGATGAGAGAAATCAAAATGAAGGAATAGGGAAGGAAGAGGTAGGCTGTAAAAGGAATTAAGTAATACTGGGATGTGGTGAAAATGGTAAAGTGGAATAAAGCACGCTTACAGTGTTTCTCATAAACTTTAGAAATATTCATGCAATTGAAATTTCAGAAATAAAATTCAAAGTACCAAGTAAATAAATAAAATACCAAAGTAAGAATGCTACCTACTTTTGTCGCATTGCAGCTGCAGTGCTGTGTAGCTATTCCTTTTACTTTTGCAAACTCAAATCCAAAAAGCTCTTTGTCTCTGAAGTTCACCATTCATTTTGCACTTTATCACTGCTTGTACATGTCTTTTATTTCTTTATGCTGAGTGGAGGGAATCGTCTGCTTAACTAAGAACTTAAAGGAGTAGACCTTGTTTCAAAGATGCTTGCAGATATGCACTGAGTTTATACTAGTGACTTTTGTGACAGTAATTTCTGGGTTCGAATTTCATCTTATTGACAAGACTTTTATCATCTGCAGCACCAGAGATACTACGAGGATGTGCCTATGGCCCCGAAGTGGACATGTGGTCTCTAGGGATCATCACCTACATTCTGTAAGTGCAGATGTCATAAGGTGGTATGCAGCTGCCTCCTTTGTTTTAAAAAAATCACGTATGACTTTATGCGCTACGTACTATGCACTATGTATGAGCAGTATGTGCGAGCTGTGCTGCTGGAAAACGAAGAGATGCTAAACTTGAGCTATGATATTTCTGAAGTTGTATAAAGAAGTCAGATGCTAAGGGAGTATGGCAAAATATTCAGATTACATATTTGATGAATATAACATTTCATCTTGAATAGCAGCAAGGTCTGTGCAGAATCGTACTACTAATGTGAATGAAAAGCAGTCAAGCTGCTGAAAGCAGAAGGAAAAAAAGGATGTAAATGTCAGAATGTGTACATTTTTTTCTCATTCATACAGACTGTAAAATGTACCATAATTTTAAGTAGCTTTTTGATTACAGATGGGGCACACAAAAGCTAAGATGCATGCAATAGCTTTACAGTACCCCTGAACATTCTCAAAGACACATTCCTGTGTCAGCCACTGATGCTGCCATGCGTCTGCAAACATAGATTCAGCCCCATTTTAGTCAGAAAGCAGCGGACAGCCCTGAACAATGTCTTTGCAACAGTCTGATTGGTTAAATGATTAGTGTTGAAAATAAGTGTTCCTTGTCTTACAAAATATCCAGAGATTCAGCTGTTATCTGTGAGCATACAGAAACAGCTGAAATTGCAAATGTAGACCAACATTTCCCAACAGTTGCATCTAGAGGTAAGCATTTATGGCTGCATTTTAATATAGCTAGTCCCAATTCAATTGCTAAGTATTGCAGTTATGTTATTCTATCAGTGGAATCTTTCAAACGAAGATCTTTGATAAAGGAGAATTATGTCTTTTGTATTGGCACTTGTCTTCATGGGAGAATGAATAACTTCATTTATTCCCTTGGCAACACAGATGCTAAGCTGGCTTATGTAGTTGTATATGATGCTAGCAGGATGCCTTTTATAGGAGAAAAATGGGATTTTTCACATACACTTTAAAAATACAGAAGGTTTTCTATATTTAGGCCCATTTTCTTTCCCCTTCTAGGACTCACTAACTGTGTCCCACAATTACAATGCATAATAATGCAATTATTTTCTTTCTACCTTCTGGAAATAATTATATTTTCTGGGATTTATACAAGAATTACATTTAAGGGTATATAAAAACTCTGATGAAAATAATATAAAACATCCTCTATCCATGAGCTTCAAATAATTAATGGCTCTCATTTGTCCAATAAAAAATCAGCTATAGTATTTCTCTGATATGTCAGGAAATGCATACGTGTCTTAATGATGAGTTCTGGAGGCCATGCTTTCCGTCCTTGTCATTTTTTGTTACAGTTTTGTTATCTTCACTTTCTAAATGTGAATCTTTGTCTCAAGGTCTGTTTTACATCTCAAATTCTGCCTCTTCTTTATACTCAGTGTCCTAATAGTGCTAACATAGTTGTAATTCCCACTTTTATTTCAGCTCATACCGTTTATTTGTGTAAAAGTTGAAGTGTCTTAGAGCTGTGAGGTTAGGCACAGGCCCTGCTGTCATCCACAACGTGGCCACATTTCAGGCTCAGGGTTGAGTTTGGTGAAAGAGTGGGTTATTCATCCAATTGACCATTTCTCATCAGTTCTAATGGCCCATACTTAACAGAGAGATATGAGATGTAAGATGTAAGCATGGCTGTCTCTGAGATGAGAGAAGTGCTTTTCCTCTCCACATATGTATGAATTAAGGCATGGGCTTGCCTGACTACTGAATAATTGAAGTATAGATTTTGTGCTTGAAATTGAGAGCCTTCTTTAAGCAGAGCTTCCTTTTGGGTGTAGTCAGGCTCCAAGAGAAATCATATACCAGATTTCTGTTATACTATGTGGTGTGCTATTTGCTATGGACAGCCTTTCTACCTCTTCCAGCTGTTCAGGACATGCTTCCAGGCTTCATTAAGTATCTGCACTGGTGCAAGCAAGCATATGAGCTCCTGCTGTGCAACACAACAAGAGCAGATAATCCCCTGCTTTTCCTCCTGGTCTTCTCCTCATACTTCCCCATCAAAATACTACTTGATCTACAGGAGTAGCCAGACAAAAAAGGGTAGTACTGTGTTGCACTTGATTGGCTCTTCTGTTTATCTTTGTTACATTCCACAGTTGTATTCTTCCAGTTAGTGTAAAGCTTTGTAGGTCAACATTTCTGAAAGTTTAGAAAGCTAAGACCAGAAAGGCATCTTCACAATACCTAATTTATTAATCCTGCAGCCTAAAGGACAATTTTGCATGTCCCAGTTTCATATTTTAGCAGGAGGAATGAGCATACACACAGTCCAAAAATGTATGGTTGTCTGTTCCCCTAAAATGGAGCAGACTACCTTAACTAAATAGAGTTAACTACCTTGCTACAGAAGATGTGTGTATAAACCTCTGTCTTCTCACCAGTACAGGCTTTATGTATCAGGTGATTAAAACAACTTTTGACCCATACTTGATAGAACAGTGACTCTGATTTCAGAATTCCAGGGAAGTCACATTTACAATTTTAACGACAAAGAGGGATAACATTGTGCATTTGCTACATAGCAGTCAACAAGTATGTAGGCTTTGTTTATAGTCAGGATTGCATGGATTGCGTGGATAAAGGTGTTTTGTGCTTTTTTTTTTACCAGCAGACTGAAAAGAAAACAAAGCTTCATCTGGTAAATTCTAATTGATTTTGAGCCTTGTTACACTGACTTTTCTTTATTGTATTGATAAATGATTTAAAATGAATCAGCATAATCCTGGTATAAATGAAATCGAGAGCAGCCATGCTGGATTTCACTGACTTAATTTATCTACTTTGAAACCAAATATTTAGTTTTACTGACATAATATGGCATATTGCAAATGATCTGCCTAATGAAATGGAGATTTTTTGAGAAGTGGAAGTGTATCTGTAGGAATTCTTAATTAGACTACAGTGGGCAATAGTAGTGAATTATGATGAAAATATTTTTAGATGTAAATAGAGACTCACTTTAAAGACTTCCAACACAGCCAGAGCAAGCTTTAAGTACAGTTACACTATATGTAATTACACTATTACACTATATGTAATCAGTTACCTGGTAACCAGAAGCTAATTTTGGCTGAACTATTAGTGGTCCGACAGCTGTAATCATGGAGATACTCCTTAGGGAAAGGAGCCAACCTGAAACAAGCTCAAATATAGTTCTGAGAAAGGCAAATGGAAGGGAAGGGGTAGGATGACCATGACTGGCTCCCCACTACTGAACTCCTGTATTTGTAGACTGAATCCTTATACTATAAGCCATCTCTGTCAAACATGGAATTGAGTAACACATCCAGAATGTGCTTGTGGTAGAGAATTTTTCCTCTGCATCAGTGCAGTGATGCAGCTGTTCAGGCTGAATACCACTCTCAAAAGAACACATTTGTTCCTTGAACATCTGTCTCCTTTTTCAGGGCAGTAAGCACACTGATTGACTTTAAAAATAAAAATAAAAACAAGTTAAAATGTAAAGTTACCTAGATTTCAATCTGTTGTTTTGCAGTTTCCTGTTATTTTCCTATAATCATCTTGTTGCTTGTTGCATTTTCCAGGGACAGAGTAGTGGATGGAATTTTTGTTTAGCTCAGAAAACTTATTAGTTGAAAAGGTAATTCACTTTGAAGCATCTGATTATTTGTGGAGGCGTGATTGAAAAGCACAAAAATGTTGTTATATAATAGACTGTAATATACATAATACAGTAGAAACTATTTCTATCAGTTTACTTTCCCTGGGATTAACAGTGCGGATCTGTCAGGATCTATACTGTTCAGTATTTTCATAAATGCACTCATTAGTGTCATTGCAAAACTTCTTTACAATGCTTAAGTTACAAGATGAGAGCTGATAATGAAAAACTGCCAAAGGATTTTACATTACTGAATACCTGAATGATAGAATGAAAGAATGTACAATGGTAACAATCCAAATTTGATAGATAAAAACTTCTAACTTCACAGACAAAATGAAGGACTGCTGCTGTTTGTTTTTTTTTCCTCTCAGGGAGAAGATACAGGGGTTCTGCTAATTACTGTCTGAACATGCTTTCTGTTTGCAAACAATCCAGACAAGCAGGCCCAAGGACAAGAATTGCTAGGAAAGAAATTGAAATCAAAATGGGAAGCATATTTATGCTAATATGAAACTCAAGAGAGTGTGCTTTTTGAACAGCATTTGCATATTCTTTAAAAAACACTGAAGAAGACTCAAAAAAAAGGGCAGGAAAGAGCAAAGGTTTCAGACAAAGGGGTAACTAAATAATTTCAGTGCTTTCAGCCAGAGATCTGCAGAAAGAATAGGTGCAAGAAAGTGCTTTCTGGCATATAGAAGGCAAATGGAGATCAGCTTTTTTGCAGTTTTTCTCGGGAGCAAGTGTGGAGGTCAGTGAATGAAAACGCTCAGTGGGATATTTCAGCCAAGGAGTGAAGATAGCTCTGATGTGCTTGACCACAGGATAGAATCACAGAATCATTAACTTTGGAAAAAACCTCCAAGATAATCAAGTTCAGTCATTAGAACATTACTGCCATACCCACTAACCATGTCCATTAGTGCCCTATCTTCACATTTCTTGAGCACCTCCAGTAACGGTGACTCCAACACCTCCCTGGGCAGCCCATTCCAATACTTCAGCACTCTTTCTGAGAAGAATTTTTCCTGATATGCAGCCTGCACCTCCAGTGGCACAACTTGAGGCAATTGCCTCTCATCCTGTCACTGTTACCTGGGAAAAAAGTCCAACCCCCACCTCAATGCAACCTCCTTTCAGGCAGTTGTAGAGCAATAAGGTCTCACCTTAGCCTTCTCTATTGTTTAGCAGACTAAACAATCCCTGTTGATGCAGCTGCTCCCCAAAAGACTTGTGCCCAGAGCCTTCACAGCTCCATTGCCTTTCTTTGGACATGCTTCAGGGCCTTGATGTCTTGTAGTGAGGAGCCCAAAACTAAACACAATATTTGAGATGCACCCTCACCAGTGGGGGATGATCACCTCCCTCTTACTGCTGTATTTCTGATACAAACCAGGGTGGCATTGGCTTTTTTAGCCACCTAGGCACACTTCTGGCTTGTGTTCAGCTAGCTCAAAAAATGACTGGAAAAATTCAAGAGACTAAAGATCCATGGAAGTTGAATCCTGAGCCACAGTTTTTGTACTCCTCATTAGACATCTGACTTGAGATAGTTAGAGGCTGAAGGGCTTAAAGAAGTTTTGGTATGACATTTTATAGCTACTTTTACGTTAAGTCACTATATTAATTGTTCCAATCACAGATAACTGATGGTGGAAGATACTCAGTTTGATCAGCCTTTGCCAGTGCTTGTGAATGCTTACAGTATCGCTTTGGTTTGCTCTGTTGTATGCATGCTGGCCTGGTTTCCCAATGTGGGGCATAGGTCATGAAGATGGGAAAGATCAATCAGGAGCTATTTCTAGCAACATAAGACCAAGTAATGTTTGATAAACTTATCTCTTTTTTTGTCTTTGCAGACTTTGTGGCTTTGAACCATTTTATGATGAAAGGGGAGATCAGTACATATATAAGAGAACCCTGAACTGTGAATATGACTTTGTGTCCCCCTGGTGGGATGACGTGTCTCTGAATGCCAAGGATTTAGTAAGTAAATCAAAAATGAGAGTGCAGAATCTTTTGCATTATACCTATTTGGTTACTTCCTCAGTTCAGTTATTTCACTGACATTGAAGATATAAATTCTCAATTCCATTCTACTTGTACAAACAGTATCATAAAAATGCTTGCATTGGTGTGTTTATTAAGTATTTCAGGATGTCTCAAGTGAAAGCCATTGTAGAAATTCAGAGTATTTTTTAATTAGATTTGAAGATTTCATAAGCTAAAGAAAGCACCATCTACTGTCTTTTTTGTCATCAGAAGTCAGACAAGCAGCAGCCTGCAGCAAAGCAATGTGTTTTGTGTACACAAAGAGCTTTGGTCCAAACTGGTTTCTACCATTTTGCTATAGTAAAGCTCACAGTTTCACTTTTGAACACTGTGTAACAAGCTTCAGATAAGGATGGAAGCCATGGCTCTCAAAATTCATGCTTTGAAGCATGAATCCCAGGCATCCATACAGACTGGCAGGAGCAGTCCTTGAGAGCAGCCCTGTGGAGAAGGACCTGGGGCTCTTGATAGATGAAAAACTTAACATGAGCCAGCAATGTGCCTTCGCAGCTCAGAAGGCAAATGGTATCCTGGGCTCCATCAGAAGACGGGTGGCCAGCAGGGACAGGGAGGTGATTGTCCCCCTCTGCTCTGCTCTTGTGAGGCCCCATCTGGAGTACTGTGTGCAGGTCTGGAGCCCCCAGTACAAGAAAGACAGAGAGCTGTTGGAGAGGATCCAGAGGAGAGCCACAAAGATGATCAGGGGATTGGAGCAGCTCCCCTACAAAGACAGGCTGAAGGAGCTGGGCTTGTTCAGTCTGGAGAAAAGAAGGCTGTGGGGTGACCTCATTGCAGCCTTTCAATACCTAAAGGGAGCCTACAGAGGGGAGGGGAATCAACTCTTTGAAAGGGTAGATAATAGCAAGACAAGGGGAAATGGTATTAAGCTGAAGGAGCGGAGATTAAGGTTGGACATCAGGGGAAAATTCTTTACAAAGAGAGTGGTGAGGTGCTGGAAAGGCTGCCCAGAGGGACTGTGGATGCCCCGTCCCTGGAGTTGTTCAAGGCCAGATTGAATGGGGCCCTGGGCAGCCTGGTTTAGCATTGAGTGGGGAGGTTGGTGGCCCTGCATGTGGCAGGAGGGTTGGAGATTCATGGTCCTTGAGGCCCCTTCCAACCCTGGCCATTCCGTGATTCTGTGATTCTGTGATTTGCCTAGCTGTACCTTTTCAATGGACTCACAGTACGTACATGCCACAGAGGCCACTCCCTTGCTTCTATGTCAGGCACTGTCAGGCCACTGCTTAAAAGCTCTTTGTGAGGAAATTTCAGAAAACCTGAGGTAAATCCACCTTTCACACCTGGGCTTGAAGCAGCAGTGGACTGTGCTGTCACTTGCAATTCTCAGAATTTATATAGGAAGGAAATCTGCGTCAATGTACTGCTGCTAAGTGCTGTCCTTACGCTACTTTACTCCATCTGCATCCTTAAAAAATATATAAAATAAAATAACCTTTCCAGAACATGCAGGAAACGCCATGAAGTGCAGCTTGTCTGGACTTTGCACCCAGCAGTCTGCACCATCTCCATTCTAGAGATATGTCTACAGTACTTCCCTCCCAGAAGTTTCCTACTCTTGCATTTGTAGATGTGCAGCCCTCCTGGTAATGACAGCAAAAGCAATAGCATAGATAGCATTAGCTTCCGTGAGGGCTACAAAATAAATACTTACACAGTACTTTCTAGTTCATGTTTACAAACGGTTATATAGTGACTAAATGAAGCATTTGATTTTTTACATATCTGGTAGTGATTACAGGGTGCAAGTATGTACATGGAGTAAGTTTAGCAGTCTACTCTATTTTGTCTTTGTGATGCAGGTTAAAAAGTTAATTGTTTTAGATCCCAAGAAACGCCTCACCACTCTGCAGGCTTTGCAGCACCCATGGGTCACAGGAAAAGCAACAAATTTTTTACACATGGACAACGCACAAAAGAAGCTTCAAGAATTCAATGCCCGGCGTAAACTTAAGGCAAGTCTCTGGACTTAGTCTCTATTTTGACTTTGAAAGTTTGCAATAAAATCAGTAGACTACAGAGGTCTTGTAGACTTTCCAGAGTAATGTCATATATACGTATTAAAGTTTTTTATATAAAATATCTGATGTAGGTGGAAAAGTCAAAAATTATTTAGTTAATATCCGCAGCTGGCAAATAAAAATGAGATTTGATTGAAAGCTCTACACAAACAAAGCTGCCAAGAGTATTAACATCTTTCCCCAAATCATTTCCTTCTTTATTACCTCCCTTCCCTCCATGCATCTTTCCATCCATCCATCTATTCTTCCATCTGTTGGTCTGTCTTGTTTAGTACTGCTGGCTGTATGTTTGGAGTGCTGACAAGAATGAAAAAAATGCTGAGTGGTGTTTTCATGAGATATTCATCCATAAATACGGGAAGTACATAGTCTACCATATAAGCATTTGATATATAAGCCACCTACATTTTCTACATCTATCAGTGCAAAGCAGGAATTTAACTCATGGCATTATAGTAGAGCCAGCATTTTGAACACCTTATACAAGGTGTTGAGCTGTGGTTAACAGGCCAAAACTTTGCAAGTATCTGTGAAAGCAATTGTGGAATTATTTATCTGAAGATTAGATTCTGTAAAGCAAGAATGCTTGTAAGACCTGCAGTGAGAATTTTGAGTCATCAGACTGCTCCTTTACTATCTAATCTACTTATCTACCATGAGAGGAGGGAGGAAAAGATTTATTATGTGTAAATAATAAATTACAGGTGATTGAGCACCTAACTGACAAAACATCAAGAAACTTTCTTTTCCCCTTGTCCTTTCTTCAGTTGTTCAAGATTTGTATCTGCTTAGAAAAGACTTCCAAGATGGCTTAAGCACAGGGATCATTAAGCTCAGCGACTAGAGTTAGGCTACCTTTGTAGCCCTGTGGAATAAGAGTAAAAAGCATCTTGTCTGTGAATTTTGTAACCCCGTGCAAAATGAAATACACAGAGAAATGACCCTTAATTTTCATTTTATTCATTTTTTATAAGTTTTATTATAGTACAGTGACAAAGAGCAAAGAAAAAATTTTGTCATTTAGGACACGGAAGATATAATTCACATTGATATTTTGCACATGCAGAACTGGTGACATGTGTATTAACACTGTTCCCTTCTAAAAGATTTCTGCAGTCTAAGAGCAGGATTGCTGTGGATTCACCAAAGATGTCATGCAATCTTGTTATATTGAAATTATTCAAGAGCACTGGAAAGAGTCGTAAAATTAATTATTTATGAGTGAGCTGTTACATTCTCTGCCCAGAAGGTCAAAAAGAACAACATCCTCTCTCTCTACACTTGGAATTGATTCTTTACATATTTTTGCCCTTTTGATCACCAGCTGCCTAGTTTATTCAGACTGATAAAGTCAACAATTTTATACCTCTGTGCTTAGCAGATGTTGCTTTTTGTAAGGTTATTTCTTCATTGCTTTTTGCTCAAAGATTAAACAACCAAATCTCTAATATTAATAAGAATTATCTAGAGTTAACAGTTATTACAGAGTTGGTGTTTTATACTAACATATTTATATAAAATGAGCATTAAGTATTTAGATAATTAATTCCTACCCATAAAAGAACAAAGCAGTAAACCAGCTAATAAGGTTTAATTGTGTTAATAACATAAGAATAATACAAAATTAACCTCTCTGTCCCAATTACAAGACCAGTAGCAGGTTTTCTTTACATAAAGGAACATTGTTACAGAATAATTTGTAGAATCATAGAAGCACAGAATATTCTGAGTGGGAAGGGACCCTCAAGGATCATGGAGTCCAGCTGCTGGCTCCATGCAGCACCACCTAACATTCAAAACGCCATGTCTGAGAGTGCTATCCAAACATTCCCAGAACTCCAGAGCTTGAGGCTGTGCCTACTGTCCTGGGCAACCCATACCTTGCCCAGAACCCTCTGGTGCAGACCCTGTCCTTAACCCCCAGCTGCCCTCCCCTGGCACAGCTCCATGCCGTTCCCTCAGGCCCTGTCACTGTCACACAGAGCGGAGCTCAGCGCTGCCCTCTGCTCCATGTAAGGAGTTGCAGCCACCATCAGGCCTCTCTCAGCTCCTTTGCTCTGTGCTGAACAAACCAGGGGACCTTGGTGGCTCTTCACATGTAATGTCCACCCTGCCCTTTGCCATCTTCTCCGTTGGACACTAATAGTTTTATGTCCTTCTTACATTGTGACACCCAGACCTGCACCCAGTGCTGGAGGTGAGGCCGCACAGCACAGCACAGCTGACAACCCCTCCCTCTCCCGGTGGCAGTGCTGGGCCTGGTGCACCCCAGGGTACGGTTGGTTCTTTGGGCAGCCAGGGCATGCTGCTGGCTCACGTTCAACTTTCTGTTATCCAGAGCACACAGATCCCTTTCTGTAGGGCTGCTCTCCCACCTGTTGTCCTACAGCCTGTACGTACAGCTGGGATTGTCCCATCCCACATTCAGAATCTAGCACTTAAATTATTACTTAATTTTAAAGCTTTCAGTGATTATTTGCTTTTTCATAGATTCTGTCGAATTTGTTTCATAAATATCCTCATGCCTAATGAGAGTAAATTACATTAAAATGATCTTGTTTTCTGAAATGCGTTCTAATGTAGATCCATATGATTTCCCTTTAAGAAGTCTGGACTTACTGACACTTTCAAAACTGCTGCCACATTTATTGGTGCATTTTGACTTCATGTTCTGTACTAGATGACTCTTCGTTGATGCCAACTTCTATATAGTTTGCTTTTTCATTTGCACATTGATTTTTTCCTTTTTTTTTCTTTTTTCTTTTTGTCTGATTGCATCTCCAAACCATCACAAACCATCACAAGCACACTCCTTGTTATTCCTTCATGCATGCTTACTTCTTTTGTGGTCCCTGTGCAAATTGCTGGCCAGGCCAACAATATCTAGGGTTTGTTTGTAGATCAGTGTTTCTTCTCCTTACTTCCATACGTCTGGTTTTTTGCAGGCAATAAAAGCAAGGGCTAAGATAACTGCCTTAATGTGTGTCCTCATGTTTTGACATTTAATGTGGTATGAGAGCCTGTTCCCCACATTTACTGTTTTGTGTGTGTGTGTGTGCCTGTGTGTGTAAATATGTAGCTCGCTGCAAAAGTAATACCTCTTATTTATTTCCTTGGAAATTACAAAAGATGCAATGAATACAGTAATTCTGTTTGATAGAGCAAATTCTCAGCAACAAAACATTTTTCAGCATACTCACCACCATTAGCATTTTCACCAGCAGTGAACAAGAGTCTTCATGCCACACTCTTCAAAACCTGCACCAGTGGAGGTGACCCACTGTCAGTGTCACCACTGCTGAAACATGCCACCATAACTGTCCCACCAAGGGACAATTATCTCTGGTAAGAAATGTCTTATAAAAGTCTGGTAAAAAGACATCCACCGTTTGGTCTCTGTATGTGTTCAGCAAGCATCAGTGAATGCCATTGGGTGCAATTTTTTTTTTTTTAATGGAAAAGTTCAATGATACACCTTTTTTTCATCTGCAATTCCACATCGAACACCATTTTGTCAGGTTGTCCCTCTGCTGCCATCTGTCACACAGCAGCAAAATGGAACAGAATATGTGTGGGAAGGTTTAGCCTCTAACACCAACAACATCTACCTCTGATGTGGTCCAACATAAAAAAAAGAAAGGAGGTATTACTTTCAAACTAGCCCTTGTAAAATATATACTAGAGATATCAACAAAAACATAAAACCAGTTGGATATGTGACTGTGTTTTTATGAACTAGTGCATCAGTCTGGCTCAATAGCAGTGGCTGCAGTTTTTAGTGAACTCTCAAGGTGCTTGTCAGAGATTATTGATGAAATTTTATTTTTCCTCTACTTCATCCTTGACAATAGTTGCTCACTAATGTCCAAATTGCCAAAAGTGATTATATGAATAAGGCATGACTGTGAAGCAAGGGACAGTTATATCTGGTAAGAAATGTCTTATAAAAGTCTGCTAAAAAGACATCACATTTTTGAGTTGAGTATCTAATTGCAGCTTCATGCACTGCATTATTAACCATGCAGGTAATGTATTCACATAACTGAAAATGGAGTTGCAAACATAAAATGAATATTTTTTTGCAGTCTTGAAGCCTGTTCTCAAATTCCTGTATGAAAACAGAAAGCATGGCAGCATGGTTTTTTCTATTCACAGGACAGTGTTCAGCCAATGTATTACAGTGCATACAGTTTTTTGCTATAATTTGATTTAGTGCTGCACTGCACCCTCCTCGTGCCCTTGTATCAGCCCCAACAGAGCAGATTGCACACTGCAGTTTGCACACTGCGAGCAATGGATGCACACCTGGCCGCTTGACAAGGAGAAGTCACCGCCAGTGGTGGGCCACATTACAAGCTGTGTTGGAATGCATGCAGCCTGCAGAACACTGCTTAGACACGCCTGGCTTAGTCTGTGTTGTGATGCGGCAGTCAAAGTTGGTGGTTCCAGGAAAGTCAGATGGATTACCCCTTTCCTATCCCAAAAGACAGTACACATCACTTTACTCTTGAAGGCTACATCTTGAATTTCTTCATTTATCCTTTAAAGAATGCTTGTATGATCCTGTCTTTCTCAGGCTGCAGTAAAAGCTGTTGTGGCATCAACTCGTCTTGGCAGTGCCAGCAGCCACAGTGCTCATGACAGCAACAAGCCCAGCTGTAGTGCATCTCCTATTCGTGACAGCAAGCCTGAAGAGAAATCCACTCAGGAAGCAGAAGCAGCTCTAGAGGAAATGTCTTAAGTCAATGCACTCCCTTATTACAGCTGAGATCTGTCATTTCATACACCAGCTAACTTGTCATTCAGCAGGACAGATTCGTAAGCTTGACCTCTCTGGTTCTGCTTTGGGGTGCCAAATGCACTGCTGGTGATTCTACCTTCAATGCATGTGACTACTTATGAAAATAATAAACTGTTCCATAAGGCATGTCAAGGAAACCATGTTATTTGCAGTAATGCTGGCAGGCAAAAATATGGGGATGAATAACTACCTACCATGATATGTATATTTCATATACATCTCTACAGTGTTTCTAGATGTTGTTTGAAACAAATACTATTTAATTCAGTTTATGGAAGTAAGTGTCTTCTGTATGTCATGATTTTCTTTGAACTGCTTCCTTCCATATTCATAATCCTATAGTAGGCAAAATGGAAGGAAATACCAAACCAGTGCTTTTAAAAAATGTTGTATGAAATAATGCTTTTTACCTGTAAAATTTAAAAAGTATTTGGGGATTTGTATGCAAGAAACATTCCACTATTTCTGGGAAGAAACTAGAATATTAGTTCTGCTGGGCATGAAAATGTATGTTCCTCAAGCTTCTGTTGAGAATGCCTTACTCTGAATTTTCGTGTTTATATACAACACTTTAATGACAACCAAAATTACTCAGCTTCCTGCTATTTCATTCTCTAGTAAAGCGTTAGCCAAACAAAATGACAGAGAAATGGGGGATTAAAGTAGATTTTTGGAATACTGTTGCATTTATTTGTGACTTTCTAAACTGTGCAGCTAGAAAACATTTTTGTAGGGCCTTTGAGAATAATCTGCAATTATACAAATTTTAAATGCTTGAAGGAAGCTATTCCACAATGTAGTGATTTTGCTCTGGGGAACCACTCTGGGAGACAGTTAGTGTTATCTGCCTGCTTCCTAGATAATTTAACATCACAAGTAACCAGTTTCCACTAGTCAGTGCAACTAGTCCGAATTTTCCTGAGAAAGGACCTCTCATGCAAAATGCTCCACAAGCACAGATTGTTCATCCACTTAGAGCTCCTGTGTGTGAACCTACAAGCTCTGTGCATGCAGCAGCTTGCAAAATTAGTATCAGTCTCTTCAGCTGTCTTGATCTTTGCTTGAATGTGACCAGTAGAAATTGAGAAACTACCAAGCATCAAGTATTTATGAGTGTTTACATTTCTTTGATATTACTTTGATAGCATGGGGATTTCATGTTATTGCTATATTACAGAAGTGGCAAAAGGAACCTGATGTACAACATTGTCATTTGTGTTTATTAAACTTTCTGTACTAATAGTGACCTACATCCCTTATACACTCAAGATTCCTCTTTTGTTCTGTTTTTATTTTAAGGTAGGCCTTGCACAACTTGCCTTCAAGAGGTTTACCAGCTGCAAAAGTCACTGATAAAACATTCAGTAGCTACATTTCCTGAAGAAGTTAAAGTAAAAGGTAGTAGAACTCTTGGCAGATGTGCTACATAAAATGTAATCTAGATTGCTATAAGAAGGAGTACTTCGCTTGCTCAGTAAAATGAATGCTAATGAACATACTGTTCTAGATATGATCTACCCATTTCTTAAACCCCTTGACTTTGTGCTAAGTGTGATTGAAATTTGAAGCACGTGTGTCTGCCTCTTCTGGGTGATACACTTTGAGATGATTTGACACTGTCAACTGGAGGAGCTGGTGGGGCAGGCGGCTGTTAAAGCAGAGCTGAGGGTTCTGCCTGAGTTTATTGTTCTGGCTGTTAGCAGGCCAACAAGACCCACTTACAGATTTTCCCTTGGAAGAATAACCACTTTGAAGAAGGTAATAGACACATTCACTTGACTTGCCTTTTACTATCTGTCTTGTCTTCTACAAAGAAGAAGGCACTAGAAAGAAGGGGCACTAGAATTAATGCATTTCTCAGCCAAAGGTTTCCTCTCTCACAGTGATGGAGGCATCCAAGTTCGTTGAGATTTTGGTAACATTTCCTCCTCCAGTGGTAATATTTGCTTCTGATCTGAGGAAATGGAACCGGTGGCACAGTCACAGCACATATGTGACTGCTTGAGTGGAAATATATTCTTCTGAAACATGGTGTGTCTGAGATTATAAGTAGTATAGTCTTAGCTGAATCTTAAATCCGTTTGTTGTTAAATTATAACGTAGCATATCATAAATAGGAACCAACACCATGCAACTAGGGACTGCTCTGTGACAGCATGATGTCGGGTGCAGCTCAGCGTTCTGCATAAAGGCTCTGACTTAAAATGTTTTTGCTCGGTTGACTTTCATTATCCTCAGTGTAAAACAATCAATGTCTGTGCTGGAGGAATTACCAGTATGTGGCTCAGTAAAATATTATGCCTTGTTTGTCAGTACTGTGCAGAAGGAACAGCAGCACTAGGGTGTATGCACTTACATGAGAAGAGGAACATTATGTGCGTTGTTTTTGTCTAGAAAATCACACCCCATAATTCAGACTAGAGAGTGGAGTACAACATTTGTGTCTTACATTGGATAAATAACAGGAACACACCCAGAAGAGACTGGAGGCAGGCCAGTTCCACGTTTGTAGTTATAAACTAGGCAGAAAATTACTGATTTCTTCTATGTTGAAACTAATCTTTAGATTTTTTTAAACATTTGGCATATCATCAGAGTTCTTCTGGTACAAAAGAGGGAACGTTGCCATCGCTCTGAAGTATTTGAACTTAGCAAAACTTTTCCTCTAGATGTAAATTCTGTAGGCAATTAAAGGCTAAAATTTGAAAGCTAGACTGTGAATCCAGCCTCTGTTAAACAGCCAGTGATTTCCTGCCTTTACACAAGACGGTTTTTTTACAAGTTCAGAAAAATTCACTCTGAAACAGTAATAGATTTTGTATCATTTGGAACACTTTGCTTGTGAGGCTGCTGATGGCAGACTGCACTGCATCAGCCCAGTGCTTGCTTGTTAACTGGCATTTGTCCGTGGCTTTTTACAAGCATGCTGTAAAATGCAGGCTCACCACAGTCAAACTTCTGAATGCAAAAGACCCTAAGAGCAGAAGTTTGATACAACATGCTTTAGTCCCTGCTGGTGAGTGTATGTGAAAGGAGATTGACAAACACTGCTGAGCATCTCCTTTGCAAAGATTCATGCCTTGGTGGATAGAGTGAAATGCTGTAGAAAGCTGTATGGTACTAGCATGAGCTGAATACAGCAATCAAAATGGTTCTGGAAGGGTGTTGGGCTGCAGAAAGCAGTCCCAGACTGGAGGGGTCTGCAGCTCATCTCTTGCTCAGTGAGGGTCTCTCTCCTGCCATTTTGCTGCAGTGAAGCCTCCATCCTTGGAAACAAGGACACCACCATGATTCCTAAGGAAGAGAAATGAAGGTGCTCTGAGTTGTCACTGCACAGCTCAGCAGGCAGATAGCATTATTTGCTAAGCAGCAAATACGTGAAGGCTCTGGAAAATAAGCAGCAATTTATGAATGTGTGGCAGCTATTTCTCAGCTTCCACATATGTCCATATCATGCTATTAGCAAAACTTGTGCTGTGAAGTTTTGTTTTTCTAAGAGAAGTGCATGGAAGTATGGTGTTCAGGGCTCTGCAGATCTTTGTTAGTGCCACACATACTGCCTGTTTCCAATCTGGCAGGCACACAGAAGTCTCAGCATAGTGCTCCAGCTCCTGGTTTGTGCAGCGTTTTGTGTTTTTTCTTGGTGAATAACTCAGTTCTCTGTAGTTGACTTGTAGCTGCTGAGGTTAATGGCATATAGCTTATCTAAGTATGGTATTCAAGTAACAAAAATATCTACACCAGGCAGGGTAAACGGTGGCAGCTAGAGCAGTGGCAATGATACAACAAAGTCCTAAAGATACCAAAGGTAACCCAAGAGGCAGCCCAGAACTTCCTTAAAGCTACTTCACAGTACAGTAATAGCTCAGAAAATGTCCTTCCCTCCTTTTCAGAATAAATGTAGTTGGAACATACAACCATGGTGGGAAAAGGTAATTCTGCTTTTGTGTGAAGAAATTTGGTTTCCCTGATAAGCCCCTGCATAATACAGCATTTTGTAGAACAGAAATCATCGGCTGTGTTGGAACGCAATAAAATAAGAAAAATGTGATAAAGAGCTTGGAGGAGAGAGATGGGAATGAAATAATTACCTAGTCTGGAATTTAAGGATGTTGATTTCAAGACATGTATAAATTTTATGATTCTTCACATAACCAAAATTTTGCCTTATGTCTGGGATTTAAAACTTTGGCCAGAGCAATTCGGTGAATATTTGTTGGAGGGTAAGTACAAACACTGTGAATCCTTTAACATAAGGATGTGACAACGTGCACATATATGATTATAAAGTTAGTAAACGTAACCGAAGCAAAAAAATACATTGGATGCTCTTCATCCCCACCAAGTTGGAACACAAAACAAAAACACTTTGTTGGAAGGCATGTTGTGGAGGTAGGCATAGTACAGAAGCAGGAACTATAAAATAGAGTTCCCCAATTCTGGACTTATCAATAAAATTAACTTTGTAGATATGTGTGTAATTACATAAAAGTACACACACACACATTTAAATTTATTGAAAGAGAGAGGTAGATTCTGAAAGTCTCTGAGAGCCACAACAGCTGCAATAACTTTTTGAGCTGTCTTCTCCCATTTGCCAGCATTACTCAGCTGGAACTGAAACCTTAGTGTTTAACATTCCTGTACACATGGATCACATCTGGATGTCAGGGGCATCAAGGTATGAAAAATTAATGGATACAGTGGAACAGCTTTCCCCAGCTCTGGCTCCTTCCTACCAAGACACAGCTGGAAAAGAACACTGCTGTGCCTTCTTCCCTTAGTGTGCTGCGGACATGGCTGGAGCAGGCTGACAACACTAGCACAGCACTGTGAGGTGGTGAGAGCTGTCACAGTGTGTGTGAGCAGGGGATGAGTCCAGCCCTTTACCTGTACACTAGGAAGATGTCTGTTAGCCAAGGAGCTTTAAACACCATGTGTTTGCTCCTATTAAATACTGTAGATGCACTCCCATAATGGAAAGTAGTAGCTGCTTTTTTTTGTTTGCACTGTAGCATTATATGATAGTACACAAAGTGAAGCTGTACATTTCTGCGTGGAGCTCCAACTCCAAGAACAACTGTCAGCACACACTCAAGGCCAGAGGCATGCTTTTC